ATGCGGAAATGCCACCTCTGTGCCTGCTCTCGTTGGATGCCCTCCTGGCTCTGCCTTCCCGTCCTGGGAACGTCCGTCTCAACGAGCTGAGGGTGGGGCTGGCAGTTGTGGGGCTGGTGCCCAGTTGCCCCATGGCTGTTGGCACACTTTGGGTTTCCCAGACACTCCGGCAGCACCGGGCACCCCAACCAGCTCTTGGCCACTTCCAGGAGATGGAAATATCCCGACCCCCCTCTCCTCTGCTCTCGTAAGGGGCTGGGATGGACGGTCTCCAACCCCAAGGAAATCTGTGATGGGTCACAAAAACCAGCAGATGGGGGGGGGAGAACAGCTGTGAGCTGGCGGCTGCCCAGTGGGACTCCGAGGGCAGGGACTTGGCTGTCGTTGGGAGTGGTGCAAACTTAAGTTCATATTTCTTCATGAATTTCTTTATGGGTTGTATTCCATAATAGCAACTTATCCTGTGTGTGTTTGTGGGGGGGGGGAAGAACCTCAAAAATAGTACCATTGCAAACAGTTTAAGTCTGGGATGAATTTGGAAAGGGGACGGGGAATAGGGCCACATTTTAAATTCTCAAAAAGTAGCTTAGAATAAATGAATGTTAATAGTTTCCCTCTAAAAGAAGATGCCTTCCACAGAGAGTTTCAAGCAGAGTAGACTCATCGACCCAGTGAGTAGAGATTTCCTGTTCAGCAACTGATTCGGTGGGTTTTCTTCAGGTTAGGAAGAGCAAAGGACTCCTCTTGGTGGTGGGAGGTCCGTCAGGGTCTCCCGAGAAGATCGGGAAGGAAGGGGGGCAGATGCTCAGGATAAGAGGCGGCCTTTCGCTGGGGTTGTGTGTGTCGGCTATTCTTTTTTATACCCGACTTTTCATCCTATATCCCTGTGGTGCGGACACAGACGTAGTCTCACGTTTTGGAACAACGAGAGAGCGTTCGCCTGCTGTCCATTCCCTTTCCCCTTGGAAGTGTGAAGTGCCTTCCCCTTGTGGACCCTGCTGGCCACGGATTATCCCTCTGTGACCTTTCGCATGCGCACGTAGCTCTGGACACGCTGTGTTTCCGCTAATCCCCTGTTCACGCCTCCTTCCCAACTTATTGGAATAGAAGACCTGTAAGTCTCCTCGCCTGCCGGCCTCAGGAGACGTGATGTGACTGAGTGGTTTCTCTCGTGCTCAGTATCTGGTTTTTCCGACAGAGTGGCAGGCGGGGTGTGGCGTATTAGAAGTGGAGAGCCACTGCCGTGGAAGACTATGCTCCGGGATGTGTGGGTGTTGTGATTAAATGAGGGCTCAGCCCTTAATTGTCGTTAGGCCGGCCGGCCTTCAGTGCTCTCTTTAGGTGAAAGAGTGTTCTGATGGAAGAGAATCCACCAACGGTTGATCTCCCTCGGTCGTGGTGACATGCGACTGGGCCTAGTCTAGGTCTGTCTTTTGGAGCATTTCTCTTCCCCATGGAGGTGACCCTTTCAACTCTGCTGCCAATTTTTTTTTGAACTTTTGTGAACTTTTGTGGGTGTGTCAAGTGTGGGCCGCTAATCAAACATGGAGACCCTTTCAACTCTGCTGCCAATTTTTTTCTGAACTTTTGTGGGTGTGGGCCGCTAATCAAACACGGAGAAGGTTTGGACTTTTAGTGTGTGTTCTCTCCCCCCCCTTCAGCTTCCCATTTCTTCTCATGGGAATTTATGGAAGCCTAGACGATGCAGTTGCTACATGCACCAATGCTCCACCCGGAAGAGGCACCGCTGGAAATCCCCACCCTCACTCACCCTGCCACCAACTCCTGTTATTCAACTCGGCTTTGAGATTAGCAGCTCTTTGCCTCTGTGACCATTCTGACTCCCAAAGAGGTAGCCATGGTGGTCGGTGTCAGCAGGCTGACAAAACTGAAGGGAAGAAAATAGAAGTCGGGCGGGAATGCCACAGCATTTGGCCCTGGCTTTGCTTCTCCCCCCCTCTCTCTTTGGCCCCGCTTCTGTTTTCTACCCTTTGATCAGTGGGATCGAAATCCCCTTTCCCAGACTCTTTTTGTTTGTTTGTTTGCTTGCTTGCTAGTTTCCCCTTTAGTTTTATCGACACAATAAGCGTACCAGTAGAGCAGAGGTCAGTGGAAAAGGTGTTCAAGACTAGGGCCGGGGTGGGTGTCTAGAATTAGTCAACTGTCCCACGAGGTCCACAGTGGTTTGCTTCGGCAAATGATGGGGCTGGGTGGGACTGTCCCACGAGGTCCACAGTGGTTTGCTTTGGGGCTGGGTGGGGGTTGGATTCCCAGTCACCCAAGGGAAGTTGTTTTACTGGAGCTGCCCCAGAAGCGCAAAGGGCAGAAGGCCAGGCCTGCCCACCGAGGTTGTGGTAGTTTCCCATGGCTCTGGTGGCATGTGTTTTGGTTTTGTCAAGTGGTGTATTTCTCAGTCCCCTTGAGAAGCATGTGGCACTTCGGACTGCCTGGATTATCGGACTTTCCCATTTTCCTGGTATGTTTTGATGGGCTCCAAGAGCTGTTTGTATAGTGGCTGAGGTTTACCGCTGGCAGAGAGTAAAGTCAGAGTGTCTCATAGTTCCTGTGTTAGCTTTATAAATCTAAGTAAAGAACAGTAAATATGTTATTATGGAGCTGTTTGGAAATTCAGAGAAGCTTGAGCACCTGGTGGGTGTGATCTCTTTTCCTTCCAACGCCTGTTTGTCGCCTGGTGATGGTCAAGTGTTTGGAGACCCTGCATTCTTTCTTCTGCAAGGTCTATGAGCATATTGAACTTGATCTGATCTGATCTTCGGCAAAGACCTCGTGCGATCACAGCTGCCACACATGAGGAGAATGTTATGGATGCTTTGGAGAAGCACCATTAAAAGCCATTCTGGAACTTATTCCATACTTATTTTATTTGTTGATGAGTATAATGTTGGCTTATTATTGGTTTATTACTTAGATCACACCTTTGCTTCTGTGACCTGATGGCAGCATAGATGCACGCGCGCCTCTCCTGCACGTCACCTTCTTGTGGTTACCCGGTGAGGTCAGTCAGGAGGGCGGGACTGTCATGTCCCAGGGCCACCTCCTGTTGAGTTTCGTGGCCAAGTGGGGATTTGAACCCACGTTTCGAGAGTCTCTGTCTAGCCCTCTCTCTGGTCCACACACTGCACAGGCTTGTGCCACAGTGTCTTCTGACAGACCGTGCAAGAACAACCCTTCCTTGTGAGAAAGCAGCTCCCGAACATGTCGTCCCCCTTCCTGGCAAAGCCTCCTTTTCACTTTCCTGTGGAAAAGAGGCAAAGCGCACTTGTGGGAAAGCCGGCAGAGGGGACTGCTTGCTGGCCTTCTGATGGCGCTTCAGCCGCGGGAGCTCCGTATCTTGAACTGTGACCTGGCCTGCTCTGCTTCCTTCCTTCCCTCTCTCTCTTTCCTTCTCTCTCTCTCTCTCTCTCTCTCTCTCTCTCTCTCTCTCTCTGTGATTGCAGGGTTTGAGGCTCTTCCCTGCCTCCTCGTTCCAGCCTCACCCGGGTGCCTTTCCTTGGGCTCTGAGCTGAACGCCTCTCTTGCAGCCGTCAGTCTGGGTGCCTCCCTTCCTGCCCAGGGACAACCTGTTCAGAATGGGGGGGACGGGCGGCGGAAGGCCACTCCCCCAAGTTCTTAGGAGTTGGAGGGGAAGGAAATAGCCCAGCACCGGGAGAGGGTGCAAGGCTTTTGCCCGGAGGGATCTTCTCGGAGCCAAGATGGAAAAACCTGCCTGGGCTCACTGGCATCTTGTTTACTGCCTTCCCTCGGCCAGGTCAGGAGCCCGGCTGGGATTCCAGGACCTCTATTTAGAACTTAAGCTCACCCAGCTGGGATTTCTTGGTTTCCTGGAACAGCCGGCACCACCGCCAGCCCAAGAGATCCTCAGGCGAGTCCTCCCCTTCCCTGCACTGAAAGGCTTCAAAAGCAAACGAGCCGCCCTACACCCCCAAGAGTGGTGGAAGCCGGTCTGTTCCCCTTGGGGGCAGCCATATAGGGCTGCAGGCCTGTTGCACTTCGGAGGCTTCTGGTGCCTCTAAACTCTAGTAACAGGCACAGCCTGTTGTGGGCTGCAACCCACAGGCATCTGAAGAAGTGGAAGCTTATGCCCGATAAATCTGGTTAGTCTTTAAGGTTGGTCCTGTTTTTATTCTTAACTCTGGCTGGACTTTCAGAAGACTCTGTATGGGAGATGACACCGACTTCTTGGCAATAGGAAAAGTAGTTAACACCTGTGGTGTGAAGAGCTTCTGTTACCCCACTGTCTTTTGCAATTCACTGCCACAGAATGTTGGGGTGGCTGCTACTTCGGGTGGGTGG